CCCCTATGTCAATCCTTCAAGGGCTGGTTGTCGCACCTTCAATTCCCTTTACATGACATTGTCCAAAGCTCTCCAAATCCTTATAGGACAAGGCTATCTCAAATCCCTTGACTCTCAACCTCTCCCTGACCGCCTTCCAGCCAGGCATGATGCTACCAAGTATTGCGCCTTCCATCAGCAACTCGGCCATAACACTGACCGTTGTTTTCACATTTGCCATAAAGTTCAAGATCTGATTGACAACAAAGTCATCGCCTCACCAAGTCCAACAAAGTCTATCGGCGCTGGATTAGTGAATTTAGGAGATAATGTGACTCGAGCTGTGATTGAGGATGAACCACCTGCTGATGGCGCTCATTTTACTCCGGGCATGGTGGATGGCACGAACTGAGTTTAGTAATTTGAGAATGTTGGTTATTTTACTTTTTGAACTGGGTGTTGAATCGTGTTGAGTCAGTCTTGTTGCGTCAGAGTTTGGTGATTTCGGGAGTGTTAACTCGGACATCACTATCTTGTTTTTGTTTTTTTTCTAACTCTTTCTTTTGAGTCTGTTTCAATCATGGAGCCAGAAATTCTAAATGAAATGACAGTAATTTCCACATACTTTTATGTGCCTTTAAATCATTGCATTGACAAAAGTTTTTCAAATTGTTTCCAAAATTGTGGTGAAAACAAAGAGAGAGGAATTCATCGGGATTTGTAAAATTTGATTGACTGAGAGGAAGAGAGGCGTGTGTAGCTTGACTCTTCGTGCTCCCTCTCGGAAGACGATTAAGCCCTACAATATCGAACTCTCGTGGTTCTAAATCTGATCTCACAAGTGCAATGTGAAATAGATAAACACCAAAGAGTCTAAATTCGGCAAATCTTTTAGAAAATCGATTTTGAATCAAATTGCCAAAAATGGACTACTTTGCCAAATACAGAGTCACCACCTAAATATTTTTAAGAAATTTAGGAAACCCATGACTCGTGCCAAAGGCCACATGTCCGTCATCACCAAGATTGTCTCGGCTCGGGAACTTAGGTACGAGAGAGGAAGGTCATGAATTGAGCACCCCCGCTCATGATATGAATCGTATCTACATTATATGCTCTTGTTTTGATTATTAGACTAATTTTACTATGTGATGCGCACACAAGTATAGACTAATTTGCTAAAGTTGGAACATTTGATTCATGTTATGTTTGAAAAATTGTTTCGAATACGAACCACTTGAAAAAAGTGATTGCATATGAACATTACTCAAATTATTCCAATTTAAGCAAATAGCCTTCATCCTAAGGCATTCAAACAATTTATCATTTAAGTAGTTAGCCTCATGGCAAGCATTCTAGACATGGCAACACTAACAGACAATGTAATATGCTAAAGCGAGTAAAGGCTCACCTAGTACTCCAAGCCCAAAAAGATGACAATATTAGAAAAATGCATGATCCTAACTATGCAATATGACTAATGCAACGCATGCGATATGCAATCTAAATAGGCTCGGCTACTTAACATAACATGTGAATCAATTTGATAGCATGCGGTCTAAGCACGTATCAAAGAAGCATAAACTAACAATACAAGTTAGAATGATGAACTGAGCCTTGATGCATGCAAAACAAGAGGATGCAAGGCATAAGGGATGTTAGACAAAACATGATGCCTTAAACTAACCATCATATGCAGGTAAATAAAAGGGAGAAAAACGTGGGATTGAAAGACATACACATTATTACATTGTTTGCCCTTGCACAAGAGGGTTCGAATGAACTAACTAGCTAAACTAATTAACTAGCTATTACAACAACAAATTAACTAATTATTACAAACCGAATAAACTAACTATTCTAGCTAGCTATTACAAAACCAACTAATGAACTATTCTAGCTAATTAGTTACATCTAACTAATTAAGTACGAATTAGCATTAATTAGAACATGAATACAACATGAAATAGAGTAACTAAATTAACTACTTAGCCCCGGGGAGCGAGGGATGCTCATGCATGCGCTAATTTCCACCCGAAAAGCCCGCTGTCCTGTTGCCAGAATGCTTCTGTTGCATAGTGGAAATCTTTTCACCTCAGCTTCTATTCTGTTCTACCCTAGAAGATTGGTGCTTAATTTGACAAAAATGGGCGTGTGATAACCCTATCCCATGATATTCTAATTGATCTTAATTATGATTGTGATTATATGTTTAATATGATTTTTAGTAGTAATTATGTGATTTTTCATGTTTTTGAAACTATATATGTTCACCCGTAAGAAAATCTGTCCAACTTACTGTTATAATTTGAAAATTGAAGACCGTAGAGGTTTCAGAAACTAGAATTGTCTGCACCATTGTGATTAGCGTAATTTTTAGAACCTATGGTGAAATTTAATTAGAAATTGATTTGAATCAAAATAATTAGATTGAACCGATTAATTAAGGATGATTACTTAGCCTTAATCAATTTGATTAAGGAAAACATATATAAGGGCCCCCTTACACTTATACTCATTTTGGGCTTGAGCTCCAAAATCTGAAATAAGCACTCTAGAGAGAGAGTGAACCGAATTTAGAGAGAGAAAGAGGCCAACATAGAAGATTTTGCAAGAGAATTTGAGAGCCAAGTAGATTAACACAAAGTTTAACTATAATTGGGAAGATTGGAGCCTCTAGGTGAGTGATTGAACTCAACTTCATGAGTTTAAATCCATAAATAAGTGAATTCAAGCAAGATGCGCAATTGAGAGCAAGAATTGAGTTGATTATGATGAATTTGAGGTCTATATGCACATGCATGCATAGAATTGCCATGAATTTGCATAATCAAGCGTGAGGCATGTTGAACATGAAGAATTAAAAACCAAATTTCACATGCATGCATAATTTTGTTAAGCTTTATGATTTTAAATACCACTTGTACCCTTTGAAATGGCATTAAAGTCAATAATTTACATCCATGCATGATTCATGCAAATAGGGAGCTTGATTATTTGAGTCTTGAAATTGACAAGAAGGATTTGAAATGATTTGAGAGATGGATCATGATTTTTGACAATTGATTCCAAATTACTTATGTTCTTGTGTTATATAATGTCTTTCCATACTTTTGTACCAAAAACATGAGTTTTGGGCCTTTCAACATCAAGTTTGAGTTTCAAATACAGTTTTGGAAATTCCAGAATTCGTCGAGTCCGCTCGAGCAAGAAAATCACCGCTTGAGCGTAAAATGTTAGCTCCTAAAAGTTTTGCAGACATTAATATCCGCTTGAGCGAAAGGAGTTACGCTCGAGCGCCCAATCATATTTTTGACTCTCAGCTCGAGCATCCAAAGTCACACTCGAGTGCAAAAATGAGGCAACCAGCACTTTTGTAGACCAAAGGGGTCCGCTCGAGCGACCGAAACTGCACTCGAGTGGAGAACCCTGTTTCAGAAACTTTGAAAAGTGGTTTTGTGTTTTGTTTTTCGTTCTCTTTCATTTCTAAGCACTCTTAGGCATACATTAAGCATTGTAAATAGACTAACAAGATAAAAAAAAAGGTCTAAGAGGAATATATAAATTAAGAATAGATTGAATCGTTTGTGACCCATTATGTTTATGATATATGTAGGGTCAAGCGCAAGGGCAAATCATCCGACAAATCATTGTGAGTAATATTTTAGTAAAGATATGTTCAAGTATGTTATTTTCCGAACGTTACTACTATATAAGCCTTGTGGATTTGTATCTTAAATTATGGATGAATAGTTTAACTGTCAGTCTTTTGCATAAGACTAATTGAATACAAATATGATCATGATCATGAGTATGAGATACACATAAATGCGAACATGAGAACAAATTGGGCCAAAGGCCGTTTGACATGAACGAATAGGCCAAAGGTCGTTTGACATGAACGAACGGGCCAAAGGCCATTTGACGTGAATGAACGGGCCAAAGGCCATTTGACGTGAATGAATAGGCCAAAGGCCGTTTGACATAAACAAATTGGGCCTGAGGCCGTTTGATGTATTAGATAGAAATATAAATGGGCCTATGGTCATTTGTTATATCTGCTACAATTTCGTTCACGTGACTTCTTTATTTTGATATTATTCACTAGGCTATCGCTTACTCTCATTTATATGTGTGTAGGTGAGCAAAGAGATGACCAGTCCCAGCCTCAGTGAGAGACATGAGAGAAGTTAAGTTTTTGTGGAGTCAGCCCGAACATCTCACGCATGAGACTTGTTTTGTTTCTTTTGTTTTATCTTTGTTATCTTAGTAAATATGTTGGATCACCATGTACATAAGCTTTTTGTTTGGCTGACTGTATGTTTGAAAGTTCCTGGACATATAATATATTAATTTTGTATATATGTGTGAGTTATTATGGAATGTTTGCTTTATCATATAAACACAGCTCATCGAAATTTTTTTTTGAGTCTGCTTCCATTCGGCCCCATTGTCGTTATAAAATATGTCTGATTTGGTTTGAGGCCGCAGGTAATCCCTTGATTACTAGCCGGTTATGACCTTAACTCATGGGGGCGGGTTTGGGTCATGACAGAGTGGTATCAGAACACGAGTTAATAACTCACACACTTGTCCAAATAAGCAGTAAGCAATTAGAAAAGAACTGGGATGTATTCATGTGATAAGTATGAACTTGAAGATATCGAAAATATGCTTAAATGTTTTGAAATAAGTGACTATGTACTATATGTTTTGTGATTTACTTGCATTGTGAATTATTTGAATACATATGCTCTTTTGAATATGCATACTTGTGAACATTTTTGTATAAAGAATAATGCAAGTCTAATAAGATAATGGTGAGAACAAGAGGTGTTGAAATAGAGGAGTCCTCTACTGCCAGAATGGACAGGATGGAAAGGTTAATACAGGATATGGCAGAAATATTGAGGCAACAACAATGGCAAAAGCCACACCCTCCACCTCCACCTCCGGCACCTCCTATACCAGACCTACAGAATAATGACCGAACAATAGCTCTCTCCAAAGAGTTTAAGAAAATGAAACCGCCACAGTTTCCTGGGGGATTGGATCCATTGAAGGCAGAAGCATGGGTCCTTGGAATAAAAAAGTTATTTGAAGTGTTCCCTTGTCTAGAGACACGGAAAGTATTGCTAGCCATTTTTACTCTCGAAGATGAGACAAGAAGATGGTGGATGTTAATGCATGAGAGCAATAACGATATTGGTTGGGCACGATTTTTGGAAATTTTCTATGACAAATACTTTCCACAATGCGTTCGTGACAGGAAAGTGTCAGAATTCATGGGACTCAAGCAAGATAGCATGACCGTAGCTGAGTACGAGGCCAAGTTTACTGAATTGGCTAGATTTGCACCACATATGGTCGATATCGACTATAAGAAAGGGAGGCATTTTGAAGGAGGACTTCAGGATGATATCTTAGAGAAAGTGAATGTACTCAAGCTGGAAACCTATATTGAAGTGTTAGACCGGGCCATAATATCAGAAGCTAATATAGCCAGACAGGCCAAATCATCAATTGACTAGAAAAGTAGTATAAGGCAAGGCTTCTTTTCAAAGAAGCAGAATACGGGCTCCTCAAGTACTTTGAATTCTTCCAGAGATACATCCGTAATGTGTAATCAGTGTGGGAAAAGGCATCATGGGGTTTGTTACCGTATATCAAGGGCCTGTTTTAAGTGTGGTAAAACAGGGCACATGGCCAGGGATTGTAATCAAAGCAGTGGGAAGTTAGTTACTAGCTTAACCGCATCAATCCCAAAACCAGGAAACACTACAAGGCCTATTACCACCGTAGATACTGTGAGGCAAATGAGAGTCTTTGCGCTAGTTCTAGGCGATACACGGAACACAGAAGCAGTTGTCTCAGGTACTATCTCTATATGCAATTAGGATGCTTTCTTATTAATTGACTCCGGATCAACACACTCCTTTGTAACTTATGCATTTGTATCTAGAATGAGTAGACCTTTAGAATCATTGCCATATTTGTTATGTGTATCTGCTCCATCCGAGGAATCTATGTTGTGTACATTTGTATGTCGATTTTGTGATATGCGTATTGGAAATGCTACCTTGAATGTAGATTTATTACCCTTGGACTTTAGACATTTTGATGTAATCCTGGGCATGGACTGGCTAACTAAATATTGTGCCACCATTGATTGTGTAATAAAAAGGGTTGTATTTAGACCACTAGGGCAGGAATAAATTGTGTTTGTGGGTAATGGGGTAGTGCCTCCACCTTATTTGATATCTGCAATGAAAGTATATAAATTGATCAGGAAAGGGTGCCAAGGTTATTTGTGTTGTGTGTTATCTGAACAATCTATGAACGTAGGATTGAATAGTATCCCTATTGTTAACGGGTTTTCAGATGTATTCCCAGATGAATTGTCAGGAGAATTGGTTGACAGAGAGATAGAGTTTACTATTGAAGTTGTGCCAGACACTCAGCCTATTTCTAAAACCCCTTACAGAATGACTACTGCTAAAATGAAAGAATTGAAATAACAACTGCAAGACTTGCTTGACAAAGGATTTATTTGACCAAGTATTTCACCATGGGGTGCACCAGTATTATTTGTGATAAAAGAAGGATGGAACCTTACGCCTATGTATTGACTACCGTGAACTGAACAAGGTAACGATAAAGAATAAATATCCCTGACCCCGTATTGATGACTTGTTTGATCAGTTGCAGGGATCATAAGTATTTTTTGAAATTGATTTGAGATCCAAGTACCACCAATTAAAGGTAAAGGCAAAAGATGTTAAGAAAACTGCATTCAGAATGAGGTATGGTCATTATGAATTTCTTGTTATGCCATTTGGAGTAACTAATGCCCCTGTAGCATTTATGGATCTTATGAACCAAATTTTTAAGTCTTACCTCAATGAATTTGTTGTAGTCTTTATTGATGATATCCTGATATATTTGAAGAATAGACTTGAACATGAACAACATTTGAGAATCGTCTTGCAAACATTTAGAGAGAAGAAATTATTTGCTAAATTAAAGAAATGTGAATTTTGGTTGGATGAAGTTATTTTCTTAGGGCATGTGATCAACAGAAATGGAATTTCGGTAGACCCCCAGAAAATAGAGGCAATTGTGAATTGGCCTACACCGACGATTGTAACAGAGGTCTACAGTTTCATGGGTTTAACTGGGTACTACAGAAGATTTGTGAATGATTTTTTTGAAAATAGTTGTACCATTTACCCAACTCACACGCAAAAGACAACCATTTGAGTGGACAGATGAGAGGGAAACTGCCTTTCAAGAGTTAAAGACGAGACTAACCACTACACCAGTTTTGACATTGCCCTCAGGTATGGAAAACTTTGAGATATATAGTGATGCTTCTTATAAAGGTTTGGGTTGTGTCTTAATGCAGAATGGATGAGTAATTGCTTATGCCTCCTGGCAATTGAGGCCACATAAGAAGAACTATCCAACACATGACTTAAAATTGGCAATAATTGTATTTGCTTTGGAAATCTAGCAGCATTACTTATATGGGGAAAATGCGAAATCTACACGGATCATAAAAGTTTGAAGTACTTCTTTACATAAAAAAAGCTAAATATGCGACAGAGAAGATGGCTTGAATTGATAAAAGATTATAATCTTCAAATCTAGTATTACCCCGGGAAAGCCAATACGGTTGTTGATGCCTTGAACAGGAAATCGACGGGGAATTTAGCTTGCTTACTTACTGAACAGAAGGAAATTTTGCTAGACTTTGAGAGAAACAAGATTGAAGTCGTGTTACGTGAACAAACCAGATTGGTGGCCGCCATTTTAGCTGAGCCAGCAATAATTAATGAAGTCAAGTAAAGACAAAAAGAGGATGAGTTCCTCAAGAAGATAATTGATGAGTTTGAAGCAAATCCAAAATCAAAATTCAGCATCGACGGTGATGTGTTGAGATTTCAAAATCGAATGTGTGTCCCAAACATTTCAGAACTAAAGAAAATAATTCTTGATGAAGCCCACAAGTCAGTATTTGCTATGCATCCGGGTAATAACAAAATGTATCGGGACTTGAAGTAAAGCTATTGGTGGCTCAAAATGAAGAAAGAAATTGCAGAGTATGTGTCTAAATGCCTTCAATGTTAGCAAATTAAAGCTAAACACAAAAAACCAGGCAGTCTACTTCAACGTCTCCCTATTCTGGAATGGAAGTAGGAGCATGTGACTATGGATTTCGTTGTTGGTCTACCTCGAACTCCTCAAGGTATGGATTCTATTTGGGTTATAGTTGATAGGCTAACTAAATCTACACATTTTCTGCCTGTTAGAACTACATTTGATGCTTATAGACTAGCTACTACATATGTTGATGAGATTGTTCGCCTACATGGGGTTCCGGTGTCCATTGTCTCGGATAGAGATCCAAAATTTGTATCTAGATTGTGGAAAAGTTTGCAAAGAGCTATGGGAACAGAATTGAAATTCAGTATTGCATTCCATCCACAAACAGACGGGCAATCAGAATGGACCATATAGACCTTGGAGGACATGCTCAGAATGTATGCTTTAGATTTTCAAGGGAGTTGGGAGGATTATTTGTCACTAGCAGAGTTTGCATACAATAACAGCTTCCACTCCAGCATCGGTACAGGACCATGCGAAGTTTTATATGGAAGAAAGTGTAGATCACTAATCTGTTGGACGGAAGTCGGGGATAGGGCCTTATTTGGACCCAAAATTGTGTAAGACACGTCGGAAAAGATTAAAATCATCCAATAAAGGCTCAAGACAGCATAGAGCCGGCAAAAGAATTATGCAAATGTTCGAAGGAGACCTCTTGAGTATGAGATTGGCGACCATGTGTTTATTCGTGTGATTCCGATGAAAGGCCAGTTGAGGTTTGGTAAGAAAGGCAAATTTTCACCTCGCTACATTGGACCGTTTCAAATTCTGGAAAGACTTGGTCCAGTTGCTTATAAGGTTGCTTTGTCACCAGGATTCGAACAAATGCATAATGTATTTCATGTATCAATGTTGAGAGGTTATCTTCGAGACCCATTTCATGTGATTGATTGCCACCGGATAGCTCTCGATGAAAATATCGAATATGTAGAATGGCCAAAACGAATCATTGATCGGCAAGTGAAACAGTTGATAAACAAGTCCATCCCAATGGTGAAGGTAGAATGGAAAGAACACTATGGGAAGGATGCCACATTGGAAAAAGAGGATGAGATACGACTATGCTATCCACATTTGTTTTCGGACGAAGGTAAAATAAGTTTGGAGGACCAAACTTCCTAAATGGGGGAAGATTGTGATAACCCTGTCCCGTGATATGCTAATTGAACTTAATTATGATTGTGATTATATGCTTAATATGATTTTTAGTAGTAATTATGTGATTATTCATGTTTTTGAAACTATATCTGTTCACCGTAGGAAAATATGTCAAACTTATTGTTATAATTTGAAAATTGAAGACCGTAGAGGTTTCAGAAACTGGAATTGTCTGCACTATTGTGATTAGCGTAATTTTTAGAACCTATGGTGAAATTTAATTAGAAATTGATTTGGATCAAAATAATTAGATTGAACCGATTAATTAAGCATGATTACTTAGCCTTAAATTAATCAAATTAATTAAGGCAAACATATACAAGGGCCACATTACCCTTATACTTTTTTTTTGGGCAAGTAATTACCCTTATACTCATTTTGGACTTGAGCTCAAAAATCTAAAATAGGCACTCTAAAGAGAGAGTGAACCGAATTTAGAAAGAGAAAAGGGCCAACATTGAAGATTTTGCAAGGGAATTGGAGAGCTAAGTAGATTAACACAAAGTTTAACAATAATTGGGAAGATTGGAGCCTCTAGGTGAGTAATTGAACTCAACTTCATGAGTTTAAATCCATAACGCAATTGAGAGCAAGAATTGAGTTGATTATGATGAATTTGAGGTCTATATGCACATACATGTATAGAATTGCCATGAATTTGCATAATCAAGCATGAGGCATATTGAACATGAAGAATTAAGCACCAAATTTCATATGCATGCATAATTTTGTTAAGCTTCATCATTTTAAATACCACTTGTACCCTTTGAAATGGAATTAAAGTCAATAATTTACATGCATGCATGATTCATGTAAATAAGGAGCTTGATTATTTGAGTCTTGAAATTGACAAGAATGATTTGAGAGATGGATCATGATTTTAGACAATTGATTCCAAATTACTTATGTCCTTGTGTTATATAATGTCTTTCCATGCTTTTGTACCAAAACCATGAGTTTTGGGCCTTTGAACATCAAGTTTGAGCTTCAAATACAGTTCTAGAAATTCTGGAATTCGTCGAGTCTGCTTGAGTGGGAAAATCGCCGCTCGAGCGTAAAATGTTAGCTCCCAGAAGTTTTGCAGACATTGATGTTCGCTCGAGCAAGAGGAGTTACGCTCGAGCACCTAGTCACATGTTTTGACTCTCAGCTCGAGCGTCCAAAGTCACGCTTAAGCGCAAAAATGAGGCAACTAGCACTTTTGCAGACCAAAGGGGTCCGCTCGAGCGACCGAAGCTACGCTCGAACAGAGAACCCTGTTTTAGAAATTTTAAAAAGTGGTTTTGTGCTTTGTTTTCCGTTCTCTTTCATTTCTAAGCACTCTTAGGCATACATTGAGCATTGTAAATAGACTAACAAGATAAGAAAGAGGTCTAAGAGGAATATATAAATTAAGAACGGATTGAATCGCTTGTGATCCATTATGTTTATGATATATGTAGGGTCAAGTGCAAGGACACATCCGACAGATCACTGTGAGTAATATCTTAGTAAAGATATGTTCAAGTACGTTATTCTCCGAATGTTACTACTGTATGAGCCTTATGGATTTGTATATTGAATTATGGATGAATAGTTTAACTATCAGTTTTTTGCATAAGACTAATTGAATACAAATATGATCATGATCATGAGTATGAGACACACATCAATGCAAACATGAGAACAAATTGGGCCAAAGGCCGTATGATTATGATCATGATCATGAGTATGAGACATACATGAATGCGAACAAATTGGGCCAAAGGCCGTTTGACATGAACGAATGGGCCAAAGGCTGTTTGACAAAAATGATTGGGCCAAAGGCCATTTGACATGAACAAATTGGGCTTGAGGCCATTTGATGTATTAGATAGAAATATGAATAGGCCTATGGCCGTTTGTTATATCTGTTACAATTTCATTCAGGTGACTTTTTTATTTTAATATTATTCACTAGGCTATTGCTCACTCTCATTTATATGTGTGTAGGTGAGCAGAGAGACGATCAATCCCAACCTCAGTGAGAGACATGAGAGAAGTCAAGTTTTTGTGGAGTCAGCCCGAACGTCAAACGCATGAGACTTGTTTTGTTTCTTTTGTTTTCTCTTTGTTGTCTTGGTAAATATGTTGGATCACCATGTACATAAGCTTTTTGTTTGACTGACTGTATGTTTGAAAGTTCCTGGACATATAAGATATTAATTTTGTATAT